ACCCGTTTCTGGTGAATAGAAGTATGTGAGGTGTGGTGTTGGGTTTCCTGGATGAGATGGGGTGGAGAGCGGTTGAAGCAATTTTAGGTGTTGGTTGGCATTGAACCTTCATTAAGTTTCGCGATGCTATTGGTTGGATTCGCCACATCGCGAACTGTTGCGGCAACTTTTTCGTTGCCTGAAATTTAGCCCTGGCGATGTGATATCTCATCGCATTGCGCGATATATCGCCCGCACTCTACAGTGCGATATTTAAAAATATCGCACCCAAAATGCGATATGCGATTTTGGGTTTTTCAAAAATATATCGCGACAATGCGATATCGCATCGCCGCGATATAATGTGCGATAAGTCAAAATGAGATGCGATATCGCACCGCATCGCATTTTGACCATGTCTACGTAACACCCACTTGTAGTGCCACCTAGACATGGGCAAAATGCGATGCGATATATTATCGCATCGCTTTTTATTTTATTGCACCGCTAGATGTTTTTTTTTTTTTCCTGATTTTGGTTTATCGTAAATCACATTCTGGGCGCGAAAATTATTAATATCGCAAATGCACTTGCGATATATCGCGCCATGCGATATAATATCGTTTCACACTTTGGTGAGGGGCGAAAAAAGCTATTTTTTTGCTGAGAACTTGGAAATAATGGGCGCCATTCTTGTTCTGTAAAGGATAATCAGAATGGTGTGTTTTTCTGGGTTTTTGTGTTTCCTCCCCTCCCGCAACTTGGGCGAGATTTCGCGATGCGATAAAAAAATATCGCATGCGATATTATTTTATCGCTTATCACTGTAGAAAAGTAGACTTGATGTGCATAGCTGTAAGATGCACAAGTTGGAGATGGTAAAGATAGGTTCCAAGAGGAGCCCTAGAAAGTGTAAGACAAAAAAGTCAAATAAAGATGACAAAGACATTAGGCTAAGTAGGCCCAGATTGTGAAGAAGAGAGAGATGGAGAAGTGCTGGGCGACTTGGGCTGGTCCAGGTGAGGAGAATGGCACCCAAGAGGCTTGGGGTGCCCAATTGGGTGCTCAAGTCGCCCATAGTCAAGGTGGGGACGTGAGGAACCCTCAAAGTGGGCCTGGAAGCGCCCCCACTAGTGGAACCGCGATTCCACAAGTTGGATTCGTGGTTCCACAAGCTGGAACCGCGTTTTCATGGTTGAGAAACGTGGGTCCAGGTTGGAGTCGCGTCCCAAATGTTGGGATGCGTGGTGAGGTACCCCAATTCGGATTTTGGGGTGCCTAGCCTCTGATAAAATCACTTGGGGGGCACCCTATTCCTAATATGACCCAACCACTAATGTCTACACCTAATATAATGTAACACATTACACATAACAGAGAAATGTACTAAATTGACTACATCCCAGATAAAAGCCTAAAACAGATCCTCAACAACACCCCCCCTTAGGGGGACACCAAGGGAGAGTCTTGGGAAGAAGAGGCAGGGCGTAGGCCAATGCAGGACCGGAGACGCTGAAAAGTGTCACGGGAAAGAGGCTTGGTACCGAGATCAGCAAGGTTGGCATGAGTAGGGACATAGTGCAGTGAGATATGGCCCTTGTCAACGTGATCACGGAGGAAATGATGGCGGATGTCAATGTGCTTGGCACGGGCATGGAAGACACCAGCGTCCTTGGCCAAGACAATGGCGCTTGTGTTGTCACAGATCAAAGGGGTGGGACCAGTGGGGGGAAGTCCAAGGGAGGTGAGGAGAGTGCGGAGCCAAAAAGCTTCATGGGCTGCCGCACCAAGCGCATAGTATTCGGCCTCACAGGAGGACGTGGCCACCACACATTGCCTCTTGGATTGCCAGGAGATGAGGGAAGGACCAAGAAAAAGGAGATAGGCCGTGAGGGAACGGCGATCCTCACTTTCGGAGGCCCATGAAGCATCACAGTAGCCGAGGAGGTGGAGGGAGGAGGGATTGCCACCAAGCAGTAAACCATGGGAAGATGTTCCCTTGAGGTAGCGGAGAACACGTTTGGCAGCCAGCCGATGAGGGTCGGACCATGAGTGGAGGTGACGGGAGAGAAGGCCAGTGGAGTGGGCGATGTCAGGACGAGTAGCGACCATGGCGTACATGAGAGAGCCAACCAAGGAGGGATATGGGACGGTTTGAGATGGCGGTGAAGAGGGGTGGGAAGGGAGGAGGAGCTTAGAGTCCATGGGGGTATGGCTGGGGTTGGAATGGGAGAGCGAATAGGTGGATAGGAGCGCAGCAATAAATTTGGACTGGTGGGCATGGAGAGTGCGGGAAGAGCGGTCGCGGTCTAGGTGGAGGACCGAGGTAATAGGTGAGGGGGCCGAGGTCACGGAGTTTAAAGCGACTGGCCAGAGACGTCTTGAAGGTGGTAAGGGGTGCAAGAGTGGTAGATAGGATGATGAGGTCGTCCACGTAGACAAGGACGAAGAAGAAGTGGGATGGATGAGGGAGGAGAGGTGAAGAGGAGGCGGCGATGAAGAGGCCAGGGTCGGCGTCGGAGGTGTGAAGGCCAAAGGAGAGGAGCTCCTCTTTCAGCTTTTTGTACCAGCAGCGGGGCGCTTGTTTGAGGCCATATAGGGGCTTGTGCAGCAAACAAACTTGAGGAGAGCCATCAGGAGCAGGGAGCTCAAAGCCGGGGGGTTGAGTCATGTAGATGAGCTCGTCAAGATCGCCGTTGAGAAAGGCATTGGAGATGTCGAGCTGATGCATCTCAAGATCAAGAGCGGCAGCAAGGGTGAGGAGCAAGCGGAGCGTGGCAAAGCGAATGGTAGGTGCAAAAGTCTCTGTGTAGTCGATGCCTTCACGTTGCTTGAAGCCTTGGACCACCAAGCGAGCCTTATAACGCTCAATGGACCCATCGGGGTTTTCTTTGACCTTGAACACCCACTTGCAAGGTATGGGGGTGCAGCCGGGTGGCGTGGGCACAATGCTGTAAGTGTTGTTGGCGAGGAGAGCAGCGATTTCGGCATCAGCAGCGGCTAGCCAGTGGGGAGCAGCAGGGCAATAACGGGCGGCTATGATGGTAGCGGGCTCGTAGTGGGAATGAAGGGCTATGTGTGCAAAATCGTGAAGGAAATGGGTGGACGCGCGATCTTCAGCAAGGATGGTTCGAGAGGAAGGATCGGGAAAGGTGAGGTGAAAGTCTTGGGCGTCTGGTGATGGAAGATAAGGAAAGGGAAGGGGTGAGGAAGAAGGTGGAGAGGCGGGCTGGAGGAAGGATGGAAGCGTGTAAGGCTGAAGGGGTGGGGTGGGGAGGGCAGGGAAGGGAGATGCAGCGGGAGTGGAAGTGGGTGAGATAGCTCCGGGAGGTGGAGGAGGCGGGTGCAAGGTGGCAGGGGTGATGGAAGTGGTAGGCTGGGAAGACGGGTGAAGGGGAAAAGATATGGTGGTGGGAGTGGGGCGGAGGGTGGGGGTGGTGACGGTTGTGGAGAAGGAGGTGGTGAAGGGGATGTTTCAAGGAAAGTGACATCGCGGGAGTAGACCACGCGGCGAAGGGAAGGGACGTAAATGCGATACGCTTTGTAACCGTCAAGGACTCCATAGCCAAGGAAGACGCCCGCGGTGCTACGGTCATGTAATTTAGAAGGCCGCTGAAGAGAAGGTAGAAGCACAGAAACGGGGCAGCCAAACACGCGAAAGTGCGTGACATCCGGCCGCTGACCCGTCCACAGCTCCATAGGGGTGACGGTACGAGGGAGCGAACAGGAGGGAGAGTGATTCCGAATGTAGGCAGCGGTGAGGGCCGCTTCTCCCCACCAACCACGAGGAAGGCCGCTGTCATGTAGCATGCACCGCACCATGTCCAGGATGGTGCGGTTCAGCCGCTCCGCGACGTCATTCTGCTGCGGAGTATATGGGGCTGAAACCCGCCGGGTGATGCCATGCGAATCGAGGAAGGTCTGAAAAGCTGTGGAAAGATACTCCGGGGCACCATCTGATTGCAACGCCTTGAGGCGCGTGTTACGTTGGCGTTCAACAGTAGCGAGATAGCGCTGAAAGGTGGAGAGGACGGCAGAGCGCGATTTAAGGAGGTAGATGGTGGTAAAGCGGCTGAAGTCGTCAATGAAGGTGAGGATATAGGTGGCGCCGCCAAAGGTGGTGCCAATGGGAAAGGGGCCAGCGACATCCGTGTGAACGAGGTCAAGCGGGGCAGAGGAGGAGGAGATGGAAGGTGGGAACGGTTGGCGAGTCTGCTTCCCACGAAGGCACGAAGTGCAATTGGAAGGGAGGGAACCCTGGAGTTGGAGACCGCTGACCATCCGTTCAGAGTGAAGTTGCTGCAAGCTGGGGCCGTTGAGATGCCCAAAGCGGCGATGCCAAAGGAGAGTAGCGGCAGCAGAGCACGATGCTGGAACAAGTGGAAACGGGGTCGACACAGTAGAAGCCGGAGCTTGCGGGGTTAAGGCAGCGGGGCTGAGACTGAGAGAAATGAAGAACAACTTCATATCCTCGTAGGCAACAGCAAGAAGGGTGGACCCCTTGAACAGTTGGGCTGGAGCATGAAGGGGAAAGTGGGTGGTGAGACCCTCTTCCTTTAGCTTGCGTACGGAGATGATGTTGTGAATGGTTTGAGGAATATAGAGGACATTGTGGAGGGTAACAGGATGCGTATGGTTCCCGTGACGAGCATAGAGGATGATATCACCAATGCCTTGGGCAAGATACTGTTCACCGCCGCCAAATGTAACGCCACTACCAGGGGACGGCCGGTGGAGGGAAGAGAACAGATGTGGATTATTGCATAGATGGGATGAAGCGCCAGAGTCAAGGAGCCAGGAGGAGGGGGAGGAGGAATGGGAGCTGGTGAAGGCGGAGGCTAGAGGGCGCTGAAACATAATGGAGAAAAGGAAGAGCAGGAGGGAGAGGAGCACAAAGAGCGAGGGAAGGAATGGGAGCGATGGCAGCCAAGAGGCAGGGAGTAAGTGAGCGGTAGCGACATCAGCATAGCGAGGGTCAAGTGGAGAAGACATCAATGCCGTGGACAAAGGAGGAGTGGCAGGTGTCGGGGAAGTGGGGTCGTAGCTAGGAGAGGGGAGGATGGGCTGGGCAGAGTGGGCAGAATAAGGCAGAGGGGAGTGCGTGGATGCCTTGTTGGGCGAGCTGGATGTGTGAGAACGGAAGTTGAACTGCTGCTGCTGCTGGAGGTATGGCTGGTGGTGCTGCTGCTGGTGCAGGTGCGGCTGCTGCTGCTGCTGCGGCTGCTGCTGTTGCTGCTGCTGCTGCTGCTGCTGCTGCTGCTGCTGTCGCCGTTTCTTCTTCTCGAGTAGTGGGCAGTTGGTGATGGCACGACCAGCGGCCTTGCAATAGCGGCAGGAAAGGGTAGAGGTGTTGAAAGTCGGTTTGGATGTTCCATATTGTGCGACATAAGCACCATCAGCCGGGATTGAAGATTGCTTGGCAGCACGGTCCCATTCAGCATCCACAAGGCGTCCCTCAAGCCACTCAAGTGTCATGTCTTTGATTTCTCGGACAGAGCAAAGAGTCTCGGTAAGGGTGTCATTAGACATGGGCATAAGCCGAGCCACATCCGGCTCGGCTCGGCTCGGCTCGCCAAAATGACGAGCCGAGCCTTTCTTTTCGGGATCTGGCTCGACTCGAGCCGAGCCGGCTCGGCTCGGTCGAGCCAGCCGGCTCGACTCGGCTCGTACACAATGTCCTCGTCGAGCCGGGGTCGAGCCGGCTCGTTCCCGGCTCGATTTCGAGCCAGGTGGCCCGCCACTCGATTTCAAGGGTAAATTTCCCCCTCGACAAAACGTGTCTCCCGTTTCTCTCCCCCGCCAACAACTCCTAGTCTATGTTCCCGAAATCGCTCTAGCGGTGCAGCGTTTATCGTTTAAACGCTGCGTTTAAAGGGTAAACGCTAAACGCTCGCCCAAAATGTTTGATGCGGAATTCTTTCCCGCGACATTGCGACCTCGCGAATTCAACCAGTCGCAACCCCAAACTTTGACGACCAAAAACACATCCAACCCTTTTGCCCCGCTCAACCGCACTGCACACTACTGCATCTACAACTTCCAACCTAACCTCTTGCACCCTCCTTCCTCCTCACAATCCACTTCCCGTCAATTTCGCGAACCCTAGAATTCTGCGCGCCTAGGAGTATCTCATTAGGTTAGTTCGCGCGAGAAATCTTAAGCAGCCCGCGCCACTCTTAACAACGCGCGCTTGCATAGGCTCCACCCACACTACTGTTGGCTTAAGCGCATGCTAGGCGAGTCGAGCCGAGCCGGCTCGCCGTCGAGCCAGCCCTGGCTCGCCCACAGAAATGCGAGCCGAGCCAGGCATGTTTGGTGCCCGGCTCGACTCGAGCCGAGCCAGGCTCGACGGCGAGCCGGCTCGGCTCGACCCCTGGACGAGCCGAGCCGAGCCAGGCTCGGCTCATGCCCATGTCTAGGTGTCATAGGACCGGGGAAGACCGAGAAGGATAGAGGTGATAGTCACCCAAGAGGGAAGACTATATCCGCTGGTTTGCAGTTGCAGATCGAGGCCACGAACGTGGTCAAAGTAGGCACGGACGGACTAGCCGGGGATCCATGCGGACAGAGAAGAGTTGACGCAGCAGACCAAATTGAGCTTGATTGCCAGTTTTGGCAAAACTTCTTGTTAAGAAGAGCCCACAACCCGGCAGCCAGTCTCGGTTGGAGAAACAGACATGGAGAGCTGGGTTGGAAGTGTGGAGAGAAGGTACAGCAATGCCCCGCTGTTCTTGCTCAGCTGCTGCAATGGGAGGGGTAGCAGGGGGCCGACGAGCCTCGTTGGATGGAGTGGCCGGCGCGTCAGCCGTTGAAGAAGCACTAGGACCGAAGAGGTGATGGTGGAGTCACCAAGGGCACCAACGATGCCGACGAGTTGAAATGTGAGAACCACCATCCGCTTCCAGTGGTTGAAGTTAGAGCCATCGGGGAGGAGGGAGGGTAAAGTGAGTCGTCCCAAATGGCTGTCCACAGTGGCCATAGCCCCAAAATAGGACGTCCACAAAAATTTACGCGATGGCCTTAGCTGAAAGTCGAAGAAAATGTTGTCAGGGGTGGGAGGAACGTTACAGAAACATTTACGGTTGAAAAATCTACTCAGATGCAGATGGGCTGACCAATAGAGGCTTAGCTATAGCTCTGATTACCATGTAGAAAAGTAGACTTGATGTGCATAGCTGTAAGATGCACAAGTTGGAGATGGTAACGATAGGTTCCAAGAGGAGCCTAGAAAGTGTAAGACAAAAAAGTCAAATAAAGATGACAAAGACATTAGGCTAAGTAGGCCCAGATTGTGAAGAAGAGAGAGATGGAGAAGTGCTGGGCGACTTGGGCTGGTCCAGGTGAGGAGAATGGCACCCAAGAGGCTTGGGGTGCCCAATTGGGTGCTCAAGTCGCCCATAGTCAAGGTGGGGACGTGAGGAACCCTCAAAGTGGGCCTGGAAGCGCCCCCACTAGTGGAACCGCAATTCCACAAGTTGGATTCGTGGTTCCACAAGCTGGAACCGCGTTTTCATGGTTGAGAAACGTGGGTCCAGGTTGGAGTCGCGTCCCAAATGTTGGGATGCGTGGGTGAGGTACCCCAATTCGGATTCTGGGGTGCCTAGCCTCTGATAAAATCACTTGGGGGGCACCCTATTCCTAATATGACCCAATTACTAATGTCTACACCTAATATAATGTAACACATTACACATAACAGAGAAATGTACTAAGTTGACTACATCCCAGATAAAAGCCTAAAACAGATCCTCAACAACAATCACATTTTAACCGCGGGATAGGGCTGCGAGAAAAATGTGAAAAAAATATTTGTCCATCGCACGATACTCTATTCCAATAAAAAATATTGCAATCGCAAAAAAACGTGATAAAAACGATGCGATATTTTGCTATGCTATGCGATATGCTCATGTTTTAGTGCCAGCCATCTGCCCTGTTGACAAAAGTTGCTGGCAGGTACACTGCCCTGTAGTGAAAAACAATGGGTTAGAAAGTTTCCCACAAGTCAGCGTGGGAAACTTTCAACCCCCCTTTGGTGTCAGTGTCAATCTTCCAACTGCCCTTCGGTGCGCTTTTCCCCACTACGCTCACCATTCCGCGACCTCGCTAGCTCTCCATAGGAGGCAGACCTAGGACTAGACACCCTTCACTTCACCATCTAGCATGTGGTATCGTTTTAGGCCGGCAGGCATTTTCCTACATAACGCAAACCCTTTTAGTGGTAACTCTAGAAATTTACATTGAAGCGGGAAAAATTAACGTGTTTTTTGTTTTGATTTTGGAAAATTTTGCCATCCCGGTTTTAGAATGTACGTATTTATGAGTAAATAAACGTAAAAGTAAGTTTACGAGTAAGTTAACATTTACGCGACCTCCTAAAACGTAATTTGGAGCAAGCTGGAACCCAAGAAATGTGGTGAAGGGCTGTCAGCCAGCACTAACAACGTACTGCATATTCAACATACTGCTTCCTCAGAAGGGTGCTGATTAACATTTGTCTCACATGTAGAGTCCCTTCCTCTCTGGCTCCAATCTGGAGTCCCTTGGGGACCGTACCGACCTAATAGAAACGCATGGCTCCTCTTCCTGATATGTGTCCAATCATTTCTTCTCCAAACTCGATGCTATCTCAATTTACACACTCCAGATCCTTTGAAGAAAAACAATCTCAGTGGCTCGATACCGGCAGAAATAGGCAGACCTTCAAGCTCCTGACGCCGTTGTAAGTTCCATGATTATTCAAAGGCTAGACGCCTTTACCCCTTTTTCGTATGATAAGCTTCCAGTCAAACATGTCCCATATTTCACCACCATGACATTCTTTAGTATTTCTCGGAATCCTATTCCCATCCTCTATGTACTAGGTTTAGGGGGGACAGGGCCGAGGAAACCAGTTAGGGGGATCACACTGGTACGTGCAGCACTACATTTGTGTTTTTTGGACTTCACCTCTTTTGTCAAGTTGCTGTCATGATGGATCTGCAGGCATACAACAAGAAGATTAAGTTGTACGACAAAATCAGCCTTCTTTTCTTTGTTTCTTTCTTCATTCAATGCCCTCCTCTTATCCTCGCCCTCCCATGGCTCTGGACTCAGGTACCTCCGCCAGAGAACAAGCTTGACTGGGCGTTTATTCCTGACTCCATCAGCAGCCTCACGAATCTTACCGTCCTGTGAGCCGAGAGCTGTCTCCTCTTTTTGGAGAAGCGGATCATAGCCAGGGCCACGTGTTGCCCTTGCATCAGCTCAAATGGCAGCTTGTGTTTGTCACAAGGCTGAACAGACCTGCTGATGCTCCCATTCACATGCCATAGCATTGCTTTGGCTCTTCTGTTGGACGCTACTGCATCTACAATAAAGAAATGGTTCACTTCACTAATTTGTTCACAAATTTGCTGCCTGGCCACAAATCGGCAAATGAGCGCACAGAAACCACATCTGAGCTAGCCCACCAAAAGCGAAAATGCGAACAGCCAACCACAATCTACCCGTAACCATGCACAGGACACGTGAGGTATAGTAATGCGAGATTGCTGGCTCCATAAGCACGCCACACAAATTGCTAGGCTCGTCCCACATTCACAAAACCCCATGCATCCTGCGGTTCTTAATGTGATAACTCTTCGGTCCCTGTATATTTCCATCGTGTGAAAGCAACCTTGATTTGGCTCCCTTTTAATGGCCTGCAGACGTCTCTGGGGAAACAATCTCAGTGGCTCGATACCGTCCGGCCAGAAATAGGCAACCTTCAAGGCTCTGACCGCGTTGTAAGTTCCATGATTATTCAAAGGCTAGATGCCTTTACCGCCTTTCTTGTATGATACAAGGCTGACAGACCTACTGATGCTCCCATTCACACATGCCGTAGCATTGCTTGGCTCTTCTGTTGGAACGTGTATGCAAGGCACGTTACCTCTTCTGGTTGCTCTTTACTTTGGTGAGAGAAGACAATTCCAAGACCATATGTACATTGTCATGAGCTTTAGAGCAATGTCAAATCCAAGCATCTGTGTGAAGGTCTTGTCCCTAGTACTGTAGCTATGTCATATTTGACCTAAGGCAAGAGGGTGCTGTCCCAAGCTGTGTCACATGTATTGTATAGAGTCTTGGGGCCTTAGCAAACTTAAATGTATGCACGGCTTCTATTTCTCCAACAGTCGTTCTGTGCATAAATGTTTTCTCATGACTTCTGTTCTTGATTGAGTTGAGTTCGTTACACCTTTATGCCTTAGCCATGATTTATGCCTTCAGCCATTATGTCTACCAAGGGGAAATGTGGCCCGAGGGAAAGATTGGGGGACTGGTGCTGGTGCTAGTATTTTTATCTCTTGCCATGCTTA